ACCATCAAAATATATAAACGATCCAAACCATATATTTAATTGCACTATATAATATTTGATGTTCTAATTTAAATAATTATATATCGATTCATATATTCTTAATATATTACAACAAATCAATTCCGTGCATCGCACGGGTGCAAATAATAGTATATATTAAACCAAATATATTTTTCTAAAATAATTGATTTAATTAAGCACTATATATTAAACCAAAAACGTTTTACTATGAGGTATCATTTAATTTAATTATTTTAATATAATATAAATTCTATCACTTGTATTATTTATTTATTTATTATTAAAATTATTTAATGTAATTATAATTTTAAACTATCTACTTTTGTGCATGGTAGGTAACTAGTAAGAATGTATATATAAGGAAAATATTATATGGACTCCCAATTTTACTCATAATTTTTACTTCTTCTCACAAATTCTTAATATAGACATTTTTTATGGGACTCACATGATGTGAATATTATATCATTCTTTTTCATGCCAGGGAGTAAAAGTAAGGAGTAGAATTTAAAAGTACATGTAATATAACTCAATTTATAAAATTCATCAGACAATAATGTAATCCCTCTATTATACTCATGGTCAAATCAATTATTTCTTCTTTGTTTATTTCTATTAGTATTTTCTTATAATTTTTAAATTTATTTTTTTTATATTTAATAATATTTTTAATATAATTTTTAAATATATAAATTTTAAATACTAATTCTAAACTTAATATTATGAAAAATTAAATTATAAATAACTTGAGTCAAGTTTAGTTAATCAAATCTACCACATAAAATGAACAAAGATAATACGAGTTTAATTATTGTTAACACTTTTTCAGTTGTGTTAGTCAAAGATAATTTTCTGTTACTACACAAGAGTAGAATTGCTCATTTTACACTTTCAATAGGAATGATATCTCTAGTTTGCTTTCAAAAAATAGTAATGTACGATTTTTTAGTTAAAAAATCCAACTCATTTCAAAATTCGTTAAAAAAATATTGGGAACTGTTTTTTTTTTTTTAACGCTTAAAAATCTTGCTGTTTTCACACGAAATGGGGAATTACAGAACAAGCGGGAACTTGCAGAGTTGCAGCTGAGGGGAGTGCCGAATTAGTTTTGATTGGTGAGATATCGCCGCCGTCGCCGCCGCAGAATGCCATGGAATTGGCTTCCCAATCGCATATCCACCTCTTCCTCCTCCCTACTAAACCTAACTACTCACTCTCATCAGCTCATCTTCGCTGCCGTACCAACTACTGGTGAAATATCTTTCCATCGCTCGCCTTCGTCCTATTTTGATTCAATTTTCACCATCTCTTTTTCTCTGAAGAAGAGGGCCTATCCTCATACTTATCGTCTCCGGCGGAATTTGAAATTTGCTCCGTTGGTGCCGCGCTGCTCGTCGTCTTCTTCAAATGGGGAAGGTAAAGGAGAAGAGGAAGTAAAAATTGGCGAAGCAAGGGATGCGCTTTGCGATTATCTTCAACAACTCGGGGTTTCCACGGAGGAAGCCATGGAGATCGTTCTAGCTGCTCCCAACTACCTGCGGATGCTTATTGACAGTGTTCAAGACCTCGACGAACTCTCCTTGTGGAATTCATGGACCAACTCTGCAGCCACAGTTCCGCACTCACAGCTAACGCCGCCTCCGCCGCCGTCTTTTAGGACTAAGGTCTACGAAATGGCTCAACAGAAAGGTGATAAGGGTATGCTTCCCTACTTAGAGAGCACTGGCCTCACTCTCTCTTCTGCAACTCACCTTGCTCGCTATCTCTCCTCTTCCCACACACTTCCTGACCTCATTCGCAAGGTATTATCGTCAGAACATCGTTTTTTTCTTTTTCTGTTTTGTGCATCCATTTATTATCTGTATTATGGTCATGAAATTACTGAGTTATAAGTAGCTTATGGCCTTTCACCCTGCCTGGTTAATTGTTTAGTTACGGATGGATTCTCAATCAGTACATTTAATGTTTTCTTTTACCGGAATTTTATTGTGAGAGGAACATGATACTATCTTTTATTTTGCAAATGCCTTTCATTTTTTTTCCCAAGAGCTTTTGCTCGTTCTATCTTTTGATAATTTGTAAGTGAGTTGGTTGTAATTTCAGCTTATGATATCAAACATTTTTCATTTGAAGAGGGGTGAGTTTTCCTCAACATTCTGTGTAGGTTATGTGAATATGTTATAGACAATTGTAACCTTAGTATATTCTGGAGGACAAGAAGTTGATGCCTAACATATGGAAATGTCTATAGGGATTAATATGCAGTGAAAGCATTCAATTTGGAAATAATCTTCTCTCTGTGTGTTTGTATAACAAGGCTTCTGGATTTTTCATCAATTATATTTTCCATAATTTTGAGCAGTTTGCTAATTTTTTTTATTTGATTATAGGTTAAATATTTGAAGGAAGTATTATTTTCTCACAGTGATGATGAAAGAAGTATTGGTAAAAGTGCCCAACGAATGATGATGCATCTATCTATTTCTATTGATGAAGACGTGCAACAAACCTTGTCATTCTTTGAGAAGGCGAGTATGCCTTCTTGAGTTCTTGCTATTATGATCATTTAGCTTTATTATCTCCTACTCATCCACCTAAATTTCTCATTTTATCAGTTTCAGACTTTCTGTGATAATTTTAAGTCATACCTAGATCTTTCTTTCAGTGTTATAATGATTTTTAGAAATACCTAAGAATTTATTCTTATATGCTTTACACAGATCCAAGCAAGGCGTGGAGGTCTAGAGTTGCTAGGCTCCAAAGATGGTTCTTTCCGATATCTTATTGAATCATTTCCACGCCTTTTATTGCTGCCCTTGGAGACTAAAATGAAGCCCATCCTGGAATTCCTTGAGGAAATTGGAATTGCCCATGGATTCAAGAGACAAATTCTACTACTCTTTCCGCCAATTATTTTCTATGATGTTGAAGAGGACATAAGACCAAGATTACACTCTTTTCTTAAAGTATGGCTTTCTTTGTAGGATTAAGCAATATGTTTTTGTTTCATATTTGCAATTCTATCTAATTCCCAAAGTTTATATTATTACATTTAATGGAGTATTTAGAAAGGCGATAAACTTAAATTAACTTTGTCCTGTAATTGCTCCATTAAAACTAAAAGATCTTTGCCCCAGCTATAAACCTAAGAGAATTCTCTGTCTCTGTCTGACTCTTAAATGGTTGTTTTACATTGCATGTCAGATATTATATGATTATTGGGTTAACCAAAAGGTATTGCTCCTAGTGAATGAACATTTTCTGAAATGTCTTCCAGGTTGGTGCAACTGACAAAGATTTTGGTAAGATGTTACTCAAGTATCCATGGATTCTTTCTGCAAGCATTCTGCAAAACTATGAGAGGATCCTAGATTTCTTCAATAAGGAGAAGGTACTAGATTCTTGAATTACCATTTACAACCATTGTCCTTTTATCAAAGCTCTAAAGTATGTTGGTACATTATTATTCTTCTGCACTTTCACATTGTAATTTATTACAATATGAAAATCAGTCCTGCACATTCCCCATACTTTCCTTCCTAATCTAGTTTACACGTCAATTTTTCTATTTGCTTTTCTTTTGTTTTACTGGAAGCACTTTTCTCCTAGCAGGTACCCAATGCTAGTGTAGCCCGTGCAATTAAAAGATGGCCACTACTTTTAGGTTGTTCAGTTGACAAGCTGAAGTTGATGCTTGAACAATTTCAAGACTTGGGCATCGTAAACAAGAAGGTGGGTAAGGTTATTGCTACAAGTCCTCAGCTATTGGTGCAGAAACCTCAGGACTTCCTCAAGGTAAGGGACATTTAAAAGCAACTAAGCAAGTAAATCAATAAAATTAGTTTAGACACTTGTAGCAACTGTAAATCAATCTTCCCTTGCAATAATGTACTGATTATGGTTCTTTCCTACCACATAGTTTTCCCTGTGCAAACATATACACACTATAGCTCCAGTACTCCACCTTTAAAATATACCAAAGTCCTTGACATTGATGTATAGGCTAGAATGGAGAATAGTTATCTTTTGCAACCTTGATATCTTTTTATTTTGTTTGTTTGATCAAGTCTTTGTTTACTTGCTATTGTTTAACTTGGCTTTTCTCTTTCATGTCTAAGGTTCTTGATCTTGATAAAAAAAAATTCACTTCCATATCCAGGTGGTTTGCTTCCTTAAAGATTTGGGAGTTGATGAGGATACCATTGGTAGAATACTTGTTCGCTGCCCTGAACTCTTTGCTTCAAGCATTGAGAGAACTCTTGAGAGAAAGCTTGGTTTCCTAAATGATATCGGAGTTTCTAGGCATCATTTCCCCAGGGTTATCAGGAAATATCCTGAGTTCTTAGTATGCGATGTCGATGAAGCTTTACTTCCAAGGTAAGGATCTTTACTGCTGTGCTGCATGTGGCAATGGGAGATTGGGAGTGCCAGTTATTGCCTAGATTTGATAAGAAATCAAAAATTGTTTACTTTATTGCAATTTGGACAGGATAAAGTATTTGATGCATGCTGGGATTTCAAAGCGGGACGTATCATTCATGGTCCGTAGATTTTCACCATTACTCGGGTACAGCATTGAAGAAGTTTTGAGGCCGAAGCTTGAATTCTTACAGAACACAATGGGAAAGTCGATAAACGAAGTGGTGGATTATCCAAGATACTTCAGCTACTCATTAGAGAAGAAGATAAAACCCAGATATTGGGTGCTCAGGCGTAGTAATGTAGATTGTAAATTGAAAGATATGCTAGGCAAAAATGACGAGGAGTTCGCAGCAGAGTTTATGGGAGTCGGAAGGATGCTTGTTCCCCTTCCCCCTTCACACTAGCTCTTGCTCTCTGCAATACTTAATAATAATTTCTAATGATTAATGATTAATTTGTCTGGCAATACTCGTTACTTTCTGGGCCATATTTCCTAGGCCCACTAACACTGCCATCTTCCCTCCCTGAGATATAACCGCTCAAAACCGATTCCGGGGCTTTACGACTGTGGCTGTTTCTGTCTCTTTTACCCATTCTACTTTTTGTTGCAGCAGATAATATGGGCGACGTTCTGAGCAAGGCCGCTGATGGTGTCGGAAATGCCTTGGCTGCTCCCTTAAAGGCTATGCTGGGAGGATCATGCGAGTATGTATTTTTCCTTTGAAAATAATCTCCATATTTTAAACCATAAATTCCTAATTGAATCCAGGTTCTCTTTCCCGTTGAGTTTCGCAGGGATGTTTGTTCCGGAGTATGGGATATTACTTGTTTCATCACTCATCTATGTGTATCCGATTTGATGAGGCTGTTCATGATTCTGATTCTGTGCTACATAAGTAATAATAGTTAGCCGTGATTTTTTCGATTTCTTAATCGAATTACTGTGTTTGCTGGAGTTGAAAACTGATGACGATTCTCCATGTCCAGCTTTGCTGTTCTTCTACCTCTTTTTCAAATTGGGGGTATGCCAATGCGTAGGAAAAACTGTCTGCAAAATGTATTGTTCCGCGTGCAAGGCTTACTGCTCTGCACTGGGGTGCATGGCATGTTTCTTCTGGCATAAACTAACCAACGTTAAGCGTGTTAACCGCCGCCGACGGCGCCGGCGCCGCTTCCCCGACGTCGAGACCAGTGATAGTTCCACCAGCGGAGGCGGCGGCTCTGATAGAGATGCAAGCGTCTCTAGAAAGAGAAAGGTGATTACCAAGGAAATGGAGAGTAGTCGTCATCATAATCATCACAGCCGCCACCGCCACCGCCACCATCATCGTAGGATGAACGGAAGACAATTTGGCGTTGAGGTTAAGGGTAGGCCTCTGAAATTAAAGAAATTGAGACATCATCGTCGTCATCATCATCATCCAAGGAAGAACACCGTTGCTCTTGGGACAGAGACTGCATCCTTCAAAAGGAGACGACTCGTGTAACTTTCTCCGTATGGTAATTTTTTTAAATTAAAATATTATTTGTAAATTAATTCATCTAATTTTAAATTAATTACCGTAGATAAACTTTTTTTTTTTTTTTAATTTCCAAATTTAATATTCCTTAACATTTTTGCGTTGCCCTATTTATAAATAGAGGAGGTTAAAACTTAAAATGGAGCCTTCAAAACCTTATCCTTTGTTCTTCACTGTAAAACCCTCCGTCAGGGTTTTTCATTCTATCCAAACAAAAATCTGTAAATGGAGCGTCCGAAGTTCGGGAATTCAACGGCGGCAGAGAGCAACGCCGGCGGCCAAGGGAATGATAAGAAGAAGAGGGTTAAAAAAATGCCGGGGCCGAAGGAGATGGTATCTCACTACGAGTCCCAGGGTATGGGCACCGAAGAGGCTTCCCTAAAAGTGATTGAGGATCTCCAGAAGGTTCTGTTCAGGATGGCCGTAACTTCCAGAGAAAATGGAGGCGACACCGGTTCCGCCGCCGGTACTGCTTCGAGAAAGCTGGAGTCGATAAGCTCGAGGTTGATCAGCCTGGACATGAAAATGGACTCCAAGCCTAGCTATCCTCAAACCCTAGCTATTGGGGTTGCTTCTGGCGCACTTGTTCAGCTCTTCCCTCATGTCGCCGGTGCTGCTGTCAACATTTGGAATGCCGTTCGCTCTGCTACTAAATCTAATCCTTGAGTTTCAGTTTTTGGTTTAAATTGCGATGATACGAGCAATTATTTGTCTCTTATTAGTTTTGATTCGTTCTGAGTATGCATTCACTTCAAATCTTTATTTCTTCGGTAATTTGGAGTGAAATTCCCCCCAGTGAGCTGATGTTCTTTGATCTTAAAAGGAAAAGATAATTAAAATTTATTCTAGATCCTCTCTCTCTCTCTCTCTCTGCTTTTAGAAGTTAACTTTGTTTTCTTATTCATTTATTTTAAAGAAATTTGTAACATTGCTGTGGGTTTTGCTGCCTAGAGATGCACTTTCTTTAGTCATATAGTAACTTGAGTAATCCTGGTTTTTGGTAGTCTTCAATTGGATTTTGTAGTTCTCTAAGATCTTATGATTGCATTTCTCAATGCAAACAGTACTCGAGCATATGATCAACCTGCTTATGTGTTTAAGAGTATTTGCAGGCTTGCAGCTGGAGCAGTGCTCTGTAATGTAAATCATACCAAATTGATCCCTGATTTTCTTTTCTGCAAGCAATCACTGCTTTTGGATTTCAAAGGTATGTTTTTATGGTGTTGTCTTGAAAGCTGAAACTATGTTAAGATTGTTAAGCACACGTCAATTTGGGCTGTTCAACTGTGGGCTGTTCAACTGCTTCTGACAAATCGATACTGGCTGTGTGAACTGAAATCTTCTGGTGGTAATGATGGGCACTCCAATAGCTTGATCTGACTAGTTTTAAGAACAAAGTTTTACATGACATAATCTTGGTTTTTGACATCACAAGGATGCCATTTAGTTTATTAAAATTCAGAAAACAAGTAATGCCTATATTCTATCCAGAAATGCATAAGGTTTAGATGTGAGGTAAGTATAAACCTATTTGATTCATAAGGAGGGGAAGGTTACACGTTCCCTCCATAAAATATTAAAAGATTATTTTATTTCTTGTGTGTGTGTGTGTGTGTGTTTTTTTTTTTTTTTTTTTTTTTAATGAAGTTCGTGTAAATTGTATTTTTTTAAGAATGAATTTGGCAATATACACACTAATTTATGTAGTTGTTTTGTAAAGAATAAATTTCACTTTTGGTCATATAATTATTATACATGAATCACATTTGGTCCTTCTATTAAAATTTTCTAATTAGGTGCATGACTATGTAATTTGTATTATATTTGGTTTTGTCGTTCAATTTTTCAGGCAAACTATTACAGAAAGTGCTCTTCATCTTCCAGAAGAAGCAAATGTTGTGCTCCTTTCGAAAATGTTGTGCTCCTTTCGAAAGGAGCACTTTCAACAATAGTTGATTGAGAAATTGAACGGCAGGCTCCATCCGGAAGAAGCAAATGCAATGCTCTTTCGGAAGGAGCACTTCTGGCAATAGTTGATCGGAAAATTGGATGGAATGGTCAAATGTGATACAAATTACAAAATCATGTACATAATTAGAAAATTTTAATAGTTAATGACCAAATGTAATGTATAATAGTCAAGGGAGCAAAAGTAAAATTTTCTCCTTTTTTTGTTTTTTTTGTAAATTTATACAATCAAAGAAATATTTTTAGTTTAACTGTATTTAATTATTTTTATATTTTAAAATTTGTTATGACATCTTGATTAAAGATTAAATATTTTAATATATCGTAAAAAGACCTAAGGCAAGCAAGGGAATTATAGTCCCTTAAAAATAGTCCAGGAGGATATGTCTTAAACCAGACACCCCCTAGTTTATTGAATTCAGGAATGTCACATGTGATTAGACGTGCATTACATGATTACAGTATCGAGTATCCCAGTAAGGATGATCAGATAAGTACGCAAATAAACACAGTAATTACGTGTTTTTGAGGCATTCACATCTGGTGAGTGGTAGATGACAATATTCTAGCACAAGCACTATTCTTGGTTGTAAGCTTCTTCCACTTCCAGCCTCCGTTGAAGCCTAACTATTTCTTTGATCTTATTAGAACTACAGCTCGTTCGAGTTGCGACGATCCATTGTGCAACTGCTTTTTGTTGATTAGTGTTTAATAGGGTGGCTATTGGTTGAATTCTCTTCCCATCTCAATGTAATCATTGTTAGTGATTTGTGAGTCTATATGCAATGATTCATCTCACCTAGTAACATGATATGAATATCTAGGTTCAATCACTATTTTAAATAAATTTGGATTAAAAAGAGTTTAGCGAAATAGGGGTTGGATCAAGTATGAACTCACGTCCAGGTGAGAACTTGAAATACAAAATACACATTTTATGATATTTACCAGTATAACTCAAAAATAAAGTTTAAAAATTAGAATTTTAAAAGTGGACAATACAAACAATAAATTTGCAAACTACAAACACAAGTGTGTACACTATGACCTGCACGTTTGATCCTGTTTTGCATATTGAGCATATACCATAAATAAAGGCAGCCAAATATGAAACAACGAAATCAGAAGCCATTACTGACTTACTGTCAAAAGTATGCCAGTAATGATCTGCAGGCCAAATTAACTATACGAAGAATGGTGATCTTGGAAAACACGTTCCTTTTTTCAAAGATAAATCTATATTTGGGTCACGTTCAGATGTTATATGCACCAAAAAACTAAAGATATATACATTACATACCAGAATGTGTATCCAATCAAGTGCAGCACCAATAATTACCTCAGAAAGGCTTTCAGTGAATCAGGAGAACTGGTGAACAACAAAACTTGGCTCAAAAACTTTCTTGCTCCGTGTGTGCCTTCAGTGTACTACTACTGTACATTGGCAATGTTTAGCAAGGATGGTACCATTCTTCTCCGAGGTGGCAACTGTGTCCAAAGTTGTATTGTACTTCAGAAAGCTCCATTGTCGTTTTTCATATTTGTCTTAGTTTCAGCTCTATTTCCCAGGCAGTGGTGCTCCTCCCATTATTTAAAGCCCCAAAATGCAATACCCCAAAAGGCTCAAGCACTGATCAAAAACTCATTGCATTTTCATCACCAATACTTTTACATGGTGTACACAAACGGATTTGACAGAATTTCCTATCAGGTCTAACACTAGCACTAAAATACTTAAAACCCATCAAGGGAGGTTGGAGGTTGGAGGGGTTACTTCATTCCTTTCCCTTCAATTCATATCCCCTCTCTGAATTTTCCAACAATAATATCAATTTGGGTGTTTGTAATTCTAAAAATCTAAGAATTGGGGGCGGGAGCACACATTTTTCCCAGATGATTATAGATATTCAGCCATGGAATTCACATTTTAAGAAATTACCTTGTGTACCAAGGAGAAAAACAAGGTGTTGTCTCGGGGTGACTCGCATTGCATCATGCTGTCTTCGCTTCGATTGGTGATCAAAAAGGCTCTTCTTGACTGGTTATGACCATGTTCTGAACCTCTTAACCTTCAATCTCTGGTAGCATGTATGGAATTCTAACCAGAATGCTACTCTTTTCATCATCCACACCATGCTTTCCAAGTGGCAAGAGTGCATGAATCACAGTGAGCCTTGGAGCAGCACCACTATAATAGGAACCTTGATCTCTGCTGAAGGCCTACCCTGAAAGTTCAAAGCAAACTTCCTTATTAGAATATAGTTGGATATTTAAGGGGGGAAAAAAAAAGCATGATGCATTTGAAGTCTATAGATATAGTCCTTCAAGATACAAGATGATAATGAAACCTGAAACAGATATTAGTCGTGTTTAAGATACAAGAAGATAATGAAGCCTGAAGCAGATGATTGTCATGCAAGTCTTTAATACCTTATGCACTTGGAAATTGAAGCACAAATCTCTCAGAAGAAAAAAGTAAAAAACAAAAACATCAGAAGCAGATACATAATTTAGAACATTGCAAGCACTACAGGTCAACAGCTAATCAAAAACCTACTGGGTTTGTTTAGAATGGAGTAAGTCCAAATTAACATAGAACTTCAACGAAAGAACTTGACAAACCTCACCTTTTCTTGTCTTTGATGGTCTAATTCCAGGGCCTTCAGTATTTGCTGCAGAATTTTCTTTTTGCAGGCAATGATTTTATTGAAGATTTAGGCTTGTTTGAAGATATAAGAGAAGAAGAAAGAAGTGCCTCAACAGCATCCCGTTTTTGTTTTCTGTCTGAAACTGTGGCTTTCTCAACTTGAGTCCTAACTCCATTGCCATATTTATCATCTGTCCCCTTTGGGTTTGCATTGTCTGAAGGTTCTTTATATCTTTTGGATGCAGTTGATGTCGAATGTTTCAGACCTTTATCCCTCACTTTTTCCATATCCTCCAAAGAACTCCTGTGTTTGTCAGTGACCTTATCCCTTTGCTTATCAGCTTTCTCCTTGTTAATCTGTTTGTCACTAGTCTGCACTTGATTTCCCCCAACCGCCGACTCTGAAGGCTTGCAATTTCTCACATCACTATACCTTGCCCCTTGTTTATCAGCCTTATCATTGTTAACCTGTTTCTTGTGAGGCTTTTTCTCCAATCCTTCACTAGTCTCCCCGTGATTTTCCCCAACTGTAGAGTTTGCAGGCTTGCAATTTCTTACATCACTATTCTCAACTGCTGCCGACACAAGATCCTTCTTGAATGAATCACAATTATCAGTTGCTCTTCTCTTCTTTATCTTGGCATCATGTTTACTGTTATATGCTGCAACATTAGTGGGAGGTCCAATATCAGTGTGCCTTCTTTTCCTATCAAACTTACTATTAAAGGTCTTTTTATGTTGATCAGAACCATCATTCATGTCATCAACCATTTCAGTATGCGTTTGAATTTTCAAATGAGTTTCAGGATTTTCTGATGTGCGGTTTTCTTTTGAAGTTGACTTAAATATAGAACTGTATGGCTTTCTAGCTGATATGATCACATTTCTTTCTTTTGCATCCTTCACAAGAGCTGACCAGCTTCGGTTTGTCTGCAATGTCCTAGCATTACCAAAGATCCATAAAGAGAGTTTTGCCCTAGTTAAAGCAACATTCATCCGTCTCACATCAGCAACAAATCCAATTTTGGAAGAATATTCCTGGTCAGTGGAACATGCTCCAGCTGCCCTTACTGTGGAAAATATAAGTATATCTACTTCTCGACCTTGAAAACCATCCACTGTATTAAATTCCATTTCTGCTGTGACAGAAGATCCAAATGCACTGGAAAATCGTGAACGC